CGGAGGAAGCATTGGCAAGGGTGCGGATTCGTCTGGACTCTCGATGGGTGGATCTGGCACGGGGAGCATTGTGACCGCCTGGCAGCAGTGCAGCCAACATTTGGTGATAGGCGGCGGCGGCTGTCGATTTATCCGCATCTGGGACTTGGAAAAGGAGCTAAAAGTGGCGGATATTCAATTGGGTCGCAGCGAAACCTGTGCCCGGGTACTGGCACCCTACCTGCCCAACATGCGATCTGATGTGATCCTCGCCGGCTGCGACGACGGCAGTGTACAGCTGTTCGACAAGCGGTGCTCGCCGCAGGACGCCAGGATCTCCGTGTACCGGCGCCACAGTGCCCCCATCCTGCACGCCAGCCTGCGGGCCAGCGATACGCAGCTGGTGTCCGGCTGTACCAATGGCCGGATCAGCGTGGCGGACTTGAGGGCCAGTCCGTTCCCCAATAGCGTCAGCGATGTTGTGCACGAGTGGAATGCAGGTGGCGATGTGACGGCCATAGCCAGTCACCAGATATTTGACACGGTGGCCTGCGGCAATGCCTCCAAGATCGCGATCTACTCGCTGGACGGGCGGGTGCAGAAGGTGCTGCGGACGAACGAGGGATTCATTGGGCCCAAGATCGGCCATCCCACCTGGCTGTCGTTTCACGCGTACAAGGTGCAGCTGGCGGTGGGCTTCGTGGACAACATGGTGGCCATCTACAGCCCCACCCCAGGTAGAGATCGCTGTCAAAACTGAGAAGACAGCAGCTTAGAGGTTTATTTCGTTAGAATATCGATAAATAACTACTATTTATTCATGTCATTCTCTTGTTATAGTTTCCATTTAAAGTATCCTAGCTAATTGGTCATTGGTATTTATCTTTGCAGTTCTATAAGGGCTGTGGGAAGTGGAAAACTGACGTCGATAAGAATCCCGAAACCTTTGTCAACGCACGCAGGTTCCTTGCGGAGCCGCAGATGCAATCAGCAGTAGAGCAGATACGGAGCAGCACCCGGTTGCCGGATCTTCAGCCGGCGGATGTTCAGCTCATGTACACGGTGTGTGCTTTCGAGACGGCTTGGCACCGCCCGCGTGGTGGCTCTGGTTCCCGATCCTCATCCCATTCCGTGTGGTGCAACTTCTTCGATGTAGCCGCCTTAGAGGCGCTGGAGTTCTTCGAGGATCTGGAGTACTATTGGAACGATGGCTACGGCTACGAACTGACCCATCGCATTGCCTGTCCGGCAATCGCAGATATGTTTGCGGCCATTAGGTAAGTGCAGCCATTGTCCTAAAGTTGTAATCTACTTGTGAAGAGTTATTTATTTATTTATATAAAGCTAACATATGATTAAAATATACTTATAGATAACTACTATTATTATAGATTACTAATTGTTTTTGTATTAGTGTAAGAGTCGTGTTTTTATGAGGAATTAGCAAAAATGAAATGGGTAGCTATTGATATTTGTAGATTTCTAACTGAGATGTGCGTTCTTTCTATTCGCCAATTGTTTGAACATCTTGAGCTTGATTTTTAAAGTGCATACGGTAAACAAGTTTCTAATGCAAATCCTGTACAGATCTGGTTTTGTACATTTATTAAAATCGTGCAAAACAATTTTCATTTTTAAATAAAGCAATCTGCCATATCGATGTCAAATGTTTAGCTTAAGCAACTTTGATTGAAAGTTAACAAACGTAAATAATACTAGTTTAGGCTAGAATAATTTGACAATATGAGTTATATTAAATATTGATAATATGTTTGTATTCTTTTCCAGTTCTTCGGAAGAGGAGCGACGAGCCAACGCCACATTGTACTTTACGCACTCGGGAACGCTACTTAAGTTACTGGCCCACCTGGGATTGGCCCGGGACAAGAAGCCGCTGACGCACAAGCACTTCGCCAGCGAGCGTCGTTGGCGCACAAGCCAAATCGACGCGTTCGCGACCAACTTGGCCTTCCTCCGCTACGAGTAAGTAATAGCCAAACTGGCCATAATGAGAAAAGTCTAATAGGAAATATACCCTGCAGCTGCGACAAGGAGGAGCCGCAGGTCCTGGTGCTGCACCAGGAGCGAGTGGTGCGCCTGCCCGGATGCCCGCAGGACAGGGACCTCTGTCCGCTGACCACGCTGCGTCGCCTTTACGCCAAGAGCGTGGACCACTGCAACGTCGAGGAGCTGTGTCGGGTGAAGGCCAACTGAGAAGAAGAACTGGAACTGCTGCTGCTGATGATAATAATAAACTGCTGTTTTGTTGCTGCTCTGCTCCCCTGCCACTGCAAGACCTCAGGAAAAGGGATTCGTCGGAATGTTTAGGATACAACTGAAATAAATGATAAAGATAAGAATGGAATAGATGCGAAGGAGCTGGAATTTAGTTTTGTAAGAGATGAGAGGCCAGAGCGTTATGTGTTGACCAAGTGGCGTCTGTGTGTTTCGTATGCCTTATGCCCCAATGTGGACCATCCAATCCAGAACAAGCGAACTTCGAGGACGAGTGCAGGAGACAGAGCGAGACGGAGAAGGCAAGAGGGAACGAGAGAGGAAGAGGCAAGCCCGTGTCACGCTTTATATATACTTTAGTCTATATACTCTGGATGTCTCCCCAACTTCTGTAAAGATGTACACGACTAACCTTGGTTTACCTTTTTTTTGTTATTCAGTTAATCAGTTAATCATACTATACCTTAACCCAAAGCCAGCTGGCAAACGCATACTGTATATATATAAATACTGATGTATAAGATAATTAACTATAGTTTATATACCCAACACACCACACATATATACATAAACACAAGCGTTATTTATATGCCTCTATTCAAATCGATCCTTTGTCCCCAACAGAAAAAGAAGAAAAACAAAACGTTCGTTGTGCTAACTTGTGTTATGTACCTATAAACGAAACCGGATATATATTTAAGAAGGCAAGGATATGGAACAAATGTTGGGTTCCTAAATCAATCGTTCAGCGGAGAGGGAGACCCACACACTTTGTACAAAGCACTTACGACTTTAATCACTTTTGTCTAATTTTGTTTGTCCTATCGAAAACCCAACAACAAGAACAACAAACCGCAGTAACAACAAATAAAACTAACGAAAATTCTAGTTTAAAGCTTAACTCGCTTGGACTTTTCAATTTGTTAGGTCGAAAAATAAGAAAAACGAAAAATCAATGTGCACCTGTGGGCGAATGACTTGGCTTTTTAGCAGGCTTTTAAATAGTTTCTTCGATTTTTCCCCATTGTTTTTATTTTTATGGGTGCAAACTTCCCGTATTTGCTCAACGTGTGCCCTGCGCTAGTGTTTACAGCCAGCTAATTTGTGTTACCGCTCGAGAGGGCCTTATATATTATATATGTGTATATACAGTCCCCAGTCGGCGGAACAAAGGCCATCTCTGCGGATCCCAGATTCAAGACCCGAGATGTGGGTGTGATACTGGCTGTCCCACAGATAATACCCGAGTATTCCAGCTTCCGATCGAAAGTTTGCGAAATCAAGTGGGTTTATTCTTGGCATTTACTTTTCGCATGGAAATAAGTACTTGATCTGCGTTTGTTTGCCTTTTTGGGCCCGGGTGAGCGGAAATATCTCTATTCTGGCTTAAATAACCACTCGAGAACTTTGGGTTTGTTTACAAGTGCAATTCATTCGGTAGTCGTAGTCGACAATAATCCATTGGGACTTGCTAAATACCGTTTACTATAAAATATATTTCATATTGCTGCAGTTCCGAATAAGTTTTTGGATTTTAGTTTGAAAAACTACAATAATCATATCATTCTTAAAGAAAAGCCTTTAAAATGATTAATTATATAATTATATATATACATTATTTTTTTCCTTTAAGCTGAAACCGGATTTCTTTCTTTGGTGTAAACACCAATAATTTCTCGAGTTGGAAAATTGTATATTATTACAAACACCTAATTATAGTTAATTGAGAATATGCAAGCACCGTATTTCCTATTATAATTTGTGTTTTAATTATGGAAAAATAATAATTAGCACCTAGTTTTGGGTGCATGTTCTCCCATTATCGCTCTAATGACTGCACTTTTTCAGCATGACTGTTACAAACATGTGGTCAAATGCAATATACCCCTGGGTTTCTGCCAGAATCTGGCATAAAAAAGTCGAAGGAGACCATGACGAGGCTCGACTGCGAGGTGCCTTGGGTGTACCAAAGGCATAAATAATGGTATATGGAGTATTCACGGTTTTGTATGATATATAATAGAATAATGTGCTTAATAGAACTTTTTGTGATCCCAATTTCTATTATGAAGTTCTAAAGGAAGGTCACCCTGAACATCTTTGTAACTACCTTTCGCAAACGTACTTCTAGAGCATTTCATTATAGAGTTTATGGTATGCTTCCTGCTCAGAAAAATCTCCATACTTATTATTTTTAGCCTGTTCATTAAATTTGTTATACAAATATTTTACATTTCCCCCGTCTCACATATCTTGGTGATTCTGACATCATCCTGACTATTTTCTCTAATGGGTATCCAATATTAGTGGGGGCTCTAATACGGAATATCATTAAGATGTATGTTTTTTTTTAGTTTTAATATTCCCCTGAGTTCCTTGATATACCCGATTGTATTTAATTTTCGTTTGGTATGCTTAACGGATTAAGATGAAATAAGATATGAACAATATATTAGATCACCCCCATATCTTTTCTAGTTCTAGCATACCCCCTAGGTTCTGTGAGCACCCTATACTTTGGTACTTGGTGTTACAATGAAGGGGGTGCCGAGTGGAATGGACCAGACCGGGGACCGGGATCGGCAACAGGTTCAACCCTTAGCCACCGGAGCTTTTTTTGGCCGAAAGCTGTGAGGACGTCAGCTGAGAGCGGCGATTGTGGGAGCTGCGCAGGCGTCGACTGCGACTGCGACGGCGACGGCATCGGAGGCAGCGGCGGCGGCAGAGGCTGCGGCGGACTTTTCGCCAGCGGATTTGGATTTGGCCAAAAAGGCGATTCAGTCTCAGTGCGCTGTTGTCGTTGCGGTGGGCGCTTCGCTAGCATTTTTTATCTTTCTTTTTGGCTTTAAGCATTTTCGAAAAAAACACCTTTTTCGTTGCTCGTTTTTTTTTCGTGTGCTTTCTTGTAATTTAATAATGTGTGGTGTGTGCGCGTGCTAGTGGTTTTTCCTGTTATTGGAAAATAGGAAGATATTAAAAATAAATTCGGGGGTGGTGCGGGGAGCGGTGGAGAGGACTGAAAGTGGCCGGGTGGCCTGATGTCCCGATGTCCGAATGTCCTGGCCATGAATCGAGCCACGAATCAACAAATTAGGGGTTGTCCTGGTCGCGCGCGAGTGTTTTTTCGATGTGTGCTTGTGTGTTCGTGCTACACAGGGACAATTTGGGGAAGCCTTACATTTTATTAAAAATACATATAATATTTATTTACTATTTTTTTCTGTGTGCATCGTGTGTGTGCGTGTGTTTTTGTGGGCAAGTCCTGGCCCAAGGAATCACCTGATGGTGAAAACATGACCTAATTCCGCTCAGCATCTTGGCCAGCTTAGCCAGGACCCGAACCGGGACCAGAGCCGCGCTTAGAAAACCACCCCCGGAACCTTAACCCTCGAACGCCTTAACGTCTCACCCTTAACCCTTGGCCAAGCACTTGCCTGGCTTCCTGCTTCCGCATTCTAATTAGCTTGCAATCATTTGACAATTTGATTGCCAGCCGTCTTGATGAACACTTCGCCTCTTCCCTTCCCATTGCAGCGCCTCCCGTTCCGCTCCGCCACGCCCCCTAGCCCGTCCGCCCACTAATCGACCAACCTGCCAGCGGAATGGAGCAGCTGTGCTACCTGGCGCTGAGCGTCCTGCTGGCCATCGTGGTGATGTACGGACTCCTGGAACTCCACTACTTCCTGCGCATGTGCCTCTGTGTTGTGCTGGCGCGGTTTGTGAAGAGGCGCTGCCACATCCTGGACGCCACCACGGTGAACGGTGAGTACTCCGGTGTCCAATCCCTGGATCCTTCATCATCTCCTCAGCAGATAGACAATGGGAGACATTCGAGTGCATCCTATGGCTTTGATAGGAAACCCATACATATAATATTAACAAAGGGAACCATGGCATTAGCCTTTTAAAATTCAGTCTAGACTTATGCACTGAAAGATAAAATTGGCCAACATTTAATATACTTTTCTGTGTTCCTTAAATTTAAAAAATCTACCTAACAATCTTGCAATTCAGATAAATAATATCAGTTATGGGACTGCTTTATTTTGCTTATTTACAAAAATAAAAAGGTGTAAGACATAAAAAATATAAGAACTTAAGGGTGCTTATGAGTTTGTAAATCATTTATTGCTTTCAAGGTCATTCAACCGTTTCAAAATTCTTACTTTAACAAAGTACTTTAATGCATCTTAAATTTCCTGAAACCTATTTCGTTTGAAAATTCAAAACTAAATTCATACGTTAGTAAAATCTTAATTGTTTTTAAGCGCATTTACATAGCTACAAGCAAGTAATAAAAATAACCCAGCAGCATAATTCGTCTTTTCAAGCAATTAGATATTAATGAACTTGCTCAAGGTCAAAATCGACAAATAGCCTTACAGTTATAGTGTAGCTTTCAGAGTGCATAATTATAGTTTTTAAGCGACTCATTCCGGTTCTATATAGGGTGGACTATATACGTTTAAAAGCGAACAAGATGGTTCTAAAGGTTATCACTCATACGCAGTGTTGGCTTTACTGGGATACTTAAAGATTATTTATTTTATGAAAGCAAATATTTGTTTTAGTGTTCTAGGGACCCATGGCCGATTTCTATTAGTGGTGTTTTTTTTATTGATAACAATAAAAATAGTTATATCCATGGAATATTAAACCAAAACCAAGAAAGATAGGGCTTGCAGAACTCAACTGTTTTAACTGTTATTTCTTAAAATATCCAAAAATATTTATACTCCCATGATCCCATCTGTCTTAATTAGATTTAACCCTTTATATCACCCCTTTTCTAGGACTCTGTCTCACCAACGATGTGGACACTTTGTTGTACCACATGAACAACGCTAGATACTTTCGTGAACTGGACTTTGCCCGCGTGGATTTTTACGAGCGGACCAATCTGTATCGCACCATCACCGGAATGGGCGGTTCCGTTTTTCAGGGGGCGGCCACCATCCGATACCGCCGCTTCATCCGCCCCTTTCACCGGTTCAACATAGTGTCGCGGGTGAGTTCACAACTCGAAATATAACTAATATTATACAAATATATTATATTACTCGTTCTTAAGTGTTTTTCGAATTTCCCTATTGTAACATAAAAAGGAAGATCTGATACATAATTATTTGATATACTGTTTTGTGGTTCATCTGGAAATTGTCTTACAATTATCAGAAAGGATCCTATTGGAATGGTTTAAGAATCAATTAAAAATAAAATAACAAAAACATTAGGATCCATTTAATATTCGCATGGTGAATTTATCATGATCAGTAGTATCTTTTTTTCTTTGAAAATTCTTTCATATCAAAAAAGAGACATATTCGGATAACGCCTAAAATTGCATTGGGTATGAGCGAGACATCAATATGCGAAACTCTCCAAAGGAGAATAATTTGTGGTCTATTCTCAAATTGATGACATAGCATTGATACTAATTCTATATATAGATTTCTTCTTTAGGTAATATAGTTTTTACACCACCAAAGGTCAGCCAAAAGTGGTTCACATCGGTCCATTCATTAAAAAGTTTTCAGCATGTTATGTAACCACCGCTAGGTGGAGCTTTTGTGCAATATCAGAAACAGGTGCTCGGAGTCCCCATATTTAGGCTAGACAGTTAGAATTTGCCATGCAGATTCTTAAAAGGTTTATTGAGACATATTTATAATTTATAGTAATACTTTTTAAACACACTTTAAACAGTGTAATCTGCAAGGGTATAAGTTCGGATGGCCGAAGTTCTTCTAGACTTAAATGTTTATATATCCCTGTGCTAATCTCGATTTACCTGCCTTTATTTTAGATTATTTACTGGGACGAGCAGTCGCTGTTCATGGAGCATCGATTCGTGCGTCCGTCGGACAAGTTTGTGCACTGCATCGCCATCTGCCGGCAGCGGGTGATCGACGTCTCCATGGAGGCGGTGATGGCGGAACTCCTGCCCAGGACCTCCTCCAACGGATTCCGGGCGACGGCGACGCCCTCGCTGGCTGCGTCCTCGTCAGCGGCGACGACGGCGGCGGGTGGTATTAGCAATCCGGCGATGGACACTTCGCTGGCGGAGAATGGACATGGGACGAACGGAGGCGGGGCGACGAGTGCGGGCGCGGGTGCGGGTGCCGCTGCCGTTTCCGGTGCCACGCCCACAACTGCGGCGCACTGCCTCAAGTTGAAGCCCTCGCTGCCTCCGGAGCTGTCCAAGTGGATCGAGTACAACGATATGTCCAGCAAGAATCTGCGCAGCGGCTGCTGACTGGAGTCGTTGGAATCGCCAAAGGCGGAAGCGCATGCGCAACCGGAAACGGAAACGGAAACGGATACTCTAATATTAACCCATTTTTTGTCTCGCGTGCTTGTGTGTGTGTGTGCGTGTGTGTGCTAATGTATGCTAATGTTTAATATCTAAGTGTGCCCGTGGAATGTGTAAATTTTAAGCTATGTAAGTGTCTGAAAAACAAAACAAAAAAACCCGCCCTCTTTTGGCCTTAACTAATTGTATAATTACCTAGAGATCAGCCACGCCCCCTGAACAAACATAAAAAAACAAAGCCCCTTGGTAGTCCACAGTATGTAAGTTATGATGTACAATGATTGTTTAGTAAAATGAACAAAAAAATGTGAAAAAGAAGCAACCGATTAAGTGATTTTCTTGGGATTTCCGTTTCAGCGCCCAAAAGCAGACTACAAAATAAAAGATGTCGAGATATAACATTTTAAATAACTTTAGACCCATTTTAAAATAATTAAAGGAAATTATTCATTATTTGAAAGCTAAAAATAAGTGCTTACTCTTATGATTAGGTATTACTAAAACCCAATGGTAAATATTTTCTTAAGATTTCGAATCACCCGCTTAGAGCTTGTGATTAAACCCCATCTTGAACTTTCAGCAGCGGCCCTTTGAAACGTTGTCTATTCGGATAATTTGCAATTTGAATACAGCCAGGTGATCGCAGTTGAATGGCTAGTGTTTACACCTAATGACTATGATTTACCTGCGAATTTGCTAATTACGCCATTGGAATTGATATCAATCGATTGTTGCGAAAAGCTGGGAATATCTTAACAGGTGGTTCTTTGCCCATTAGGGGGAAAAGAAGTGAAAGCGAGGGAGGGCTTTTTCCAGTGTTGACCATAATTATTTGTTAAATGTAGCTAAATCAATTATTTACACTAGTTACTGCCCTTTTTTGCGGTTAAGTCTCAATAACTGTCGAAAAATGACATCAATATTTGTCTAAAGTGGTTTTACAGAAGTCGCAAGTGAAATTATTTACAATAGGTAATTACAGTCTTTATATAAAGTCAGGAATTATTTGCTAATACAGAGGCTTCTTCCCTATAATTTTGCAATATTTAAGTTTTACAGAGTTATTAAATTGCGTAAACGCCTAGTTAAATTTTAAAATGTTACTTGTTCTTTCGTCTTTTAAAAACATTTAGTTTTATCTCGAAAAAGGCCGAGCTGTCAGCACTTTCTTTTTCTCATTACCGCTTTGTCTTCTCATTATCGCTTCCACTCAATTCACTGATTTCGTTTAGTGTTGTCAGTTTAGCTTTTTCCTAGCCGTTATCAACTTTTTATTACAAAAAAAAGAAAAAAAAATTGTATATTAAAAATGATATTCCCTAAAAAAAAACCTAATCATTTTAAATATTGCTGGTTGCCTTTTGATTTTTGTTGTTATCACCATGCTTGAATATTTTTATTTATTATAAACTTGATTATATATTATATTCCGGTTTTACTCAACTAGGTAATACATATATAGTTGGCAGCACTGCCTGCGTTGGCTAACTTTCGAGCGATTGCTTTCTTCTGCTTCGGCGTTGCGTAGTCTTCGCTTTTGCCAACCGGCCGTCTTCAGTTTACGGTCTACAGTCTGCAGTCTACAGTCTACAATCTTCAGTCGTCTGTGGTCGTGCCTCGCCAACGGTTGTGTTGTTGCGTACCGCTCTGCGTTTTACCGCCCTACCGCTTTTCCCCCCGCTCGTCCCGCTGTTAGTTAGTAGCTTGTTTGGCTGAGCTAAACGGAACGATCGACTGCAAATGTAAGTATACGTATATCCAGCTGCTTGGCGAAGGGGTCAACCGATATAATTGACTTTCCCGGAACGGACTTTGGCGATCCGATAAATCAGCACCAAAGTCTGATGCACTCAGAAAAATGTTGGCCAAATCTTTTGATTATGGTCACAACTCCTTAAGATTGTTTACATTTTTTATCTAAATGATCTTTGTAAATTATTTTTCTTCAAAAAACCCGATTTTTTAAAGTCATTTAGAAAGACTATTCCTTCTTGAATGGTTTCCAGAAATACGAACAAACATTTAGCTTACTTTTTATAACGCTCTAAAATATTATTATAACAAATGTAAATCATTAAAAGATGGTTTTTTTAATATATTACTTTTGAAATATGATTATTTCTAATAATTTATAGTTAGGGCGCTTAGAACTTAAAATAATATAACAATAAACACCTAGCATACATTTAAAAGTCAAAGAAGTAACATATTTTAGCTGGAATTTTGAGAGCAATATTCCCCGATTTCTTGCAGTGTAGTAAAAGTGTTCGCTGGCACTAACGGGTTTTCCCCCACCTATCTTTTCAGAGGGAATACATACACTCCACACCGCGATGTCTTGGCTGGTGGTACTGCTGATCCTCTACGTGATCTGGGATGTCAACTACTTCATCCGCTGTGTGTTCACGGTGTTTGCGGGTCGTCTGTTTCAGCGGAAACGCAAGGTCACGGACACCACGACGATCTATGGACTGTGCACCTCCCAGGATGTGGACATCTTCATTAGGCACATGAACAATGCCCGATACCTCCGGGAACTGGACTTTGCCCGCTTCCATTTCTACGCCCTCACGGGGCTCTACGAGCGGATCCGGGAGCGACGTGGTGGAGCCGTCCAGGGAGCCAGCAGCGTCCGTTATCGCCGCACCATCCCCATCTTCCATCCCTACAAAATCCAGACCAAGCTGATCTGGTGGGACGACAAGGCCATCTACCTGGAGCAGCAGTTCGTCACCCTTTCCGATGGCTTTGTGCGGGCAGTGGCCATGTCCAAGCAGAACATCACCAACTGCAATGTCCTCGAGGTCCTGAAGACCTATCCGGAAACTGCCCAGCGACCGGAGAAACCGGAGGAACTCAAACTCTGGCTGGATGCCATCGAACTCTCGAGCCAGAAGCTGCGAAAGGACAAGTGATCTGCCTGACCTGAACCCCCCTCATAGTTCATTTACTCTTGCCTTATCTGCTTAGTCTCGTAATATGTTTTTTTTTTGAGTGCACAGTGCAAACATTTTAGACTGATATTTCTCACATTTTACAAAAACCAATATGGGTACTGTAAACATTTTGATTTGTTTGCTATAAATAACATTGTTCCCATAATTCGAGAAGTTCCACCTACTAAACAATAACTCATGATAACTTGAACATATTGCCTGTATTTTGTCACAGTGCTTTAACTACAATGAATATTATGTATAAAGATATTACTTAAATGGAGTGGCCGAAGCTTTTTAAATATAGGTTTTATACCAACAAAATAATATTCTTACTGCTTTTTTTACATCAAACAATCAACCAAACTATGTTAATAAACATTATAATAGTTTGAAATATCTGATAAATACTTTTGGTTTGGAACATGCACTTTCTTCATAACCTTTCCTCAGAGTGCTAATTTTATCAAATTTTTTTCGTAGAAACGCATTTTTTTGTGGCAGGGGTCTATGAAGTTTTTTCGACTTTCATTTATGCTAAGTTTGATATCACGCAACGCAGAGTCTCTGCCGATAAGTCGATGGATTGTTTATTTTCTTTTCTGCTGCCTCCGTTATGGCATAGTTAATAATGCTGTCTGCTGTTTGGTTATGCAACTCAAAATTGAAACTGTTGTGGGAATGCCATCATCAGCAATTTGCTCGCAGAGTATGCAAAAACGTTTGCGAATTTCACACAAAAATAATCATAAATAATGTGTGCAGTCCCAAAATTTTGGAAGTGGGATTCCCAGAGGATATGTATAGACACAATGTTCATAGAAAGCATTATCAATACCGGGTGTTTCTGAAAATCTGTTGGGGAAGAGATTTATAAAGCTTGTTTTAATTTTTATCCATATATGATAAGTTATCTAATTGTTTGTGCCCCAGAACTTTAAAGTTGACTGATTTGTACAACTGGACACCTAAGGTAACTGTCTTTATTACTTTGGAAAAACAATTATATTGACTACTTTTTCTACTTTTTTATAAAAAGTTAATCATACTTTTTTTCTAAAACAAATCCTAAGAATTACAAAAATATAGATTTCAACGCCAATCGATACAGAATTGTTTTACGAGTTCTTACATCAACTTCCCGGCATTTTCCATTAGTCCTTTTTTCTTTTGAACAAGGCTTTTCAAGCTATATAATATTTTTTCTTGAAAAATCAACTAAGTTTTTATTTTCTAGAGCTCCTAAGTTTTTTGTTTCTTCAAACCATATATCAGAGGGTATAAAAACGTCAGTCGCTTTACTTACTGGTTCGTCGACCCTTAAAGTGCAAGTAAAGATACCTCATGTTATGAGTTTTAGTATCTTTTCTCTTTTATTTCCTTGTACTTAAGTTAAGGATCGGCAAACAGCTGATTGCTTGCCGTAATCCGTAGTGTAATCCGTGACGTCATGTCGACTGCAACAGCTGCACACACGGCGTATGAGTGCTGACCACTTCCACTTCCCGTCGTTTTTATTTGAAATCTCTCCATTTGTTGTGCTTCTTTTTTGTTTTTTGCTTATTTTCTGTGTGGTGCTTAGGCCCAAAAGTGGATCAAAACGTGACACTGAAATCTAAACATAAATCTCATTCATAAAGTATGCAGACGGCGCGCGCGTCGCTTTCCTAGCTCTCTTTTGGGGCCTCACGTACTCCCCAACTCGATTCTCCCCAGCATTTCTCTCTCAGAGCGCGAGGGTCTCGGTGCAACTGTCACCAGAAAATACACGCAGAAAAATAGTTAGCTAATTCAATCACATTTGATTTAAATCAAATTAAGGGTCCAAGCCGCACTTACCATCCTGGGATATGCTTGAGGCTGGAAAGTTTGTACTCCACCAAATATTTCACAGCACTAAAATATTTGTTGCCACAACATTTTTATATATGCCCATTTTTTGCCAGTGGTTTTTTCTAAATTACATAAATATAATAGATACCAAATTATATTAAAAGCTATAAATGAAATTATTGGGAATAATTTTGTACATTTCACATACTTGCTTGCTTGTTATACATAATATAATGATATATCAAAACTTGTGGTTCATGGCATAATTTTTATACAGCAAAGGTAAACTTATAAAAAAGTGTTAGATCCATTTATTTCATAATCAATTCAAATATTTTAACCTTTTTCTTTTTTTAAACATAGATATATTACTATGAAAATTATAGTTAAGTTAAGGTTTTTAATCTTTGTTTTTATTGTGAAATTCCTTTTTATAAAACTCAAAAATGGTTAAAGGATAAAACCCTTATATTTTCTACCTTGACTTAAATGGATAATGAAATTGATTTTCTTTTGTACTATACCTTTTTATTATAGTCAGTTCAAATTACGTAATACGTAATTTTTAAATTATGCATTTTTACTATTCCATTTTTTTTATCAGTGCACTAAAGAAACTACAAATTTGTGAACCTTATTTTATTTGAAATAATATTAAGCCCGTTGTGTAAAGAAAATTAATGA